CATAGCCTAATTCTTTCCTTGCCATTATTCTAGACTGAGTTCAGTTCCTCTACTCCCTGCAGACTGGGGCCCCGAAACTCGACACTCCATTTCACTCGACTACTGTTCTCTGCTTCTACTACATTCTATTTCTCCAGCGCCCTTCTTTGTCCTTTTATAACCCCTCGACACGAACCCCACGGAAGACACCCCTGTATTGTTAAGGAGGCGTGTTTTCTTGGCCGTAACGTAGCAGTAGATGTCCTATTGTCGCGTGCGCGTTTGTTGCAGGAATGTGTTCACCAATCCGTTGCCTAGCAATGGGCATGCACATCACAATAATTTAATTGAGAATATTGTACGTGACAACACTTGGACGTAAGCATAAGGTGTGCCACACTGGGAATGTTAGAATGAGACCGGGTGCTATTTGCGGTTGTTGAGCTTGTACATTCACGTGTGTATGTATGTAAATATAATATTTAATATTTCTATTCTAAAAACTCAGTGTAAAATATATAAAGGAGAGGAGTGTTTTTGCTACCCGTTAATGAATGGAAGTGCTTTATACATGCCACGTATATGCGTTATCTAACATTTAAACAGTAGAGAATATTTCTACTTCTATATTTCTGATTTCCCAGACATGTACACCTGGAACAGATAAGAAGTTGTCCCTGTACATAAGTAAGCACCATGCATGCCTCTGAACTTGGCAGCTGAAGGAGGCAACTGAACGGTCTCACCACCCGGAAGCTTCACCTCCTTATCCAGGGAACTGCCGATGAGAAAGAGCCTGCCCCCTCCGAGAATCTACCCCCTGACGTCTGATTCCGTAATCAGTTATCATAATTACTGTCCCTTCCCGCATTAATACATCTTCTTTAACGTTTTAGCAGTTGTTTTGTATGGGCACGAAAAATTATCTCTTGCTTTTAGGCAAGAGCATAAGCGCTTAGCCTTGGATCTAAACGGATTTGGGAAAGTGAGCATTGTATGCTATTGGGTCTAATTCAGCAGAAGTACGAGTATTGCTTATTTGTTTAGTAGGGCTTCTGTGTTACTGTGTTGAACTTGATCTGTTTCGATGCGTTATGAAAAAGTCTCAAAATTATGAGACCTAGATTGGTGCTGTACTTTACGGGATGCCTATTTAAGTTTCTAGATGTATTTGTGTGGGTGAATTATAAATGTATTGAAAATATTTAAGTAAATAATAATGATATTGCTTGAAGCAAGAATTAAAATTGCTTTTATTAGCCTCATAGACCAATATCATGCTCGTATATAAAATGTGCCGCTCTCTGATAAGTTTTGCGTTCATACAGTTTTGTTTATTAAAAGTGTAAGGGAAGAGACTGAAGTTGGAATTTCGCTCGCGGATAAGATGTGTGTGCTTGCATTGTGCTGTGTTGGTAAAAGCATAATGATGGACCAGACCTCCGTCTGAGGGAGTCGTCCAAATGTCGAAAAGAATTCCGTATTTCACCCTTAATTCAGAGGCCATGAAGCCTAAATCATGATAGCTAATAATAAACGTCATCACGTGTTGATATTTGTGGATACTGCTGTGCTTTTGTCCGTAGTACTCATCTCCTCACTTACAGCTAATATGCTGAAGGTTAGGGTTGGAGAAAGGCCGACAAAATTTCTCAGATCTCCGCAGAATGGAATCTGAATAATCTTAACTGCCCCAAAAGCCACCGGGTCATGCACCCCACTTTCTGCGATACGCGATTTTTCACTTCATGACAGCGACTGAATTTGCGCAGATAATCACGAAGTATGTAAGCTTAGGTATATCTCGCTTTACACCGTTTGTAAATAAAGGGCACGCGGTAGCGTGGTTGGTTGAGGCATTATGTCACAATCCGGAGGATAGCGGGTTAGATTCCCGATGTGGTCACCGGATTTTTCAGTTGACCTAATCCTTTCAGCCTCTAATAGAAATGAGTACCAGGAATCTTCCTGGGGGGTAAAAGTCGGCCGGTGCGTGAGGCTGACAACATCACCACCGTCTGTGAGGTGATTGTCTAGAAAATGTTGGAGCCTCGACGTCTCATAAAGCTATGGGCCTCCACGGCCTGTTACAGTAACAGCTTTACCTTTTTCTTTATACGCTTTTGCTATTTTCAAACATATCGTGTCTTCAGTGAGTTAAGTTGTCATTCTCTCAAGATCTGTTTATATTGATTGATTCATTATACGCCTACTATTTCTACGATGAATTTTGTTCAGTATATTATATTCTCAGTTAGGCCGTATTTGATACACTGTTTCGTGAGCTGGCTCTAGCACCGTATTCAGGTGAATGGTTAAACCATAAACGCTATCACTAACCTTAAAATGGGAATGATACGGTACCTGTGAGTCTATTGAAAGTCAGTCACCTGACGGCAGGTGTAATGGCAACACTTCCCCCCCCTGGCACTACAGCCCCAGTGGGCCTAGGCCTACCTCCATGAACTTTTCCCTTCACTTCGGTTTTTCTAGATCTTACACATTTGGTAGGACTCCTTGGGCGGGTGATCAGCTCGTCGCAAGGCCTCTACCTGTACACAAACACAGAAAAACGCACACACACAAACTAAATATCCATGCCCTGAGTGGGATTCCAACCCACGATCCCGGTACCCAAGCGAGCGAAGACAGTATATGCCTTAGACCGCTCGGCTACCGTGACCGACAATGGCAACACTTGGGAGTAAAAAATACGCCTCAGGAAATGGACTATACCCAAAGCAATATTCGTGTAATGAACATGTAGTAGTTGTCTTTACAATAAAGTTTTAAACTGTAAATGAATCTGTAAAAGAATCAACATATGAAAGATTGAAAAGACCACAACACGTCGCTCAAATGTAATATTTTTAAATAGTCTAAAACACATTTTTATTAGAACGGGGAAGATATTGCGATTGTGGGCATGTGTAACTTTCTAACAGAACAACCTGTACAAATGAACCTATCCTGACACCCAAATCACAAAATCCTGATAATTCACTTAAGATCTCTAACAGTAGTAGGAAGACAGCACCTTAAATCACCAACAGAAAACAACCGCAATTTGATTATAACTGTGTTGGGCCCCACGGTGTAGTTGATACGAGCTGATACGGACTCTCGTTATACTGAGACTTTTAAAATTGTTGGTTATTTAGCTTGATGAGGCAGCAGCTGGGATCAAACCCAAGGCCCATAGCAATACTAATTTAGAGTATAAACCGCTAGTGCTCTGGTGCATCTAACAATGGAACAGTTTTTCTCTGGTTGTACGTGTTTACGTGAAATTTATAATAACGGACCTTTAAACTTAACGGATAGTATTTCTCCTTAGTCCATAACAGACGTCAGGGTCTAGCATTTTACTTGAAAATGGGTCTATACGTACGCGTTTCAAAAAACGTAATTAAATATCACCATACAGAATTCATTCGAAGTGACAGCTTCGCACTAATGCAATTGTTTCGAATCCGGTACGTAATTTTATTTTATTTATTTATTTATTTTTTTTTGGTCGGAAGTGTGTTAATACAGCTGGGCTCACACCGGAGCGTTTATGCAACAGAGAAAGTCTCATCATCTTTCCTTATTTAAGAGCTAATTCTACGGGGCCATTTCTTGTCTCTTTTTAGAGCCGATACATTTAATTAGCGAAATGAAGAATGCCAAAATTAAACTTCACTTAGTGTAATTCTGTATTTCAACATCCTGTTGCAATTGTTTAACTTAACGTCCATGTATTTATCGTCGCCCAATATTACAACACTTGTTTATTCACTACTTAATCTTAATTTTAGTTTAACACTTATTGTAAGTTATTTATAATAAAACTGGTTGTATTCGATCTTATAAAAAATAATTCACGACTCCAAAGTCCGCGGATCGATTCTAGCTCTATCACTGTTAGTAATATTGTAGACAGATCAACACAGATATTCTCCTTTCCTCCTGCCCCCCCCCCTTCACGCCATTTGTCTGCTGCCGAAGGTCATACATGACACCAATAAACGCTACGTACGGGCTGTCTGTTTACGTGTATAAACTGGAGGGTTCAGCTTAGCACGCTAATGACAGCATTGAACTCTACATGCACACATGCAATTGTTAAACAACCAGTCAACGTGTCATAAATGTCGGAATAGTTCGAAACTTGATGTGAATATTTCAGTTTTTAGAATCACATTATCTGTTGATAGGCAAAATTTTTGTGCGAGGAGTACACGTCTGCAGCCGGGATCTGCCCCATAGCTTCATGAAACAGAACGAATGTATGTTCCAGTTATATAAAATCCTACCAAAGTTCTTAGATTTGAACGTTTTCACTGTCATACCTTAATATCAACTGTTAATTGTTCCCGTCTTAATGTGGAATTAAACACAAATATATACGTATATTAACAGTTGTTCGTATCAACACGTGCATATGTACATGTTATAAATTACATTAGCAATCTGCAAACATGTTACAATGCACAGGCGATCAGAAGATGTTTCAAACGTACCGTTTATGAAGTATTTATTAGCATTACGTTAACAACGAGTAAGAAATATTGCAGAGAGAAATGCAGCCACAGCTACCTCTATGCAAATGATAGGAAATAATATGCTGGCGGAAGAGGGATGGCCGGTGATAACTTCACAAAAAAGACTGTGCTGTATGGTGTTGGTGTGCCCTGCATTCGTGTATCAATTGTGCTTCTGACGTAATCGTTTTGTTCATCGCCAAATCTGTCTTCTCTAATGAAGTTACGTAACGAAATATCTTTCACTTCATATCGTTTTAGACATTTTGGTGGAAGATGAACACTAATTGATAGACTGACCCTGGTTGGACCTTGTAATTCGAAGACGTGCAGGTTATTTATAGTTCCGCTTGTTGACCGTGTTAAGAAATTATAGAATATAAAACAATATAACTCAAGGCATCAGAGCAACCAATGTGTTCCCTTACTCGGCGGCACCGCTATAGGCCTGTGTATTAGCCTCACAAGCATGTCCGGTGCGTGTATATTTTGCAGCCAGGGGTGGCGTACCAGACCGCCTCTCGTCCCTACAAGTTTCCTGAAGGTGGTGCCATCTATGAACAGTTTAATGAACCTGAAGAGTACCGCACTCCGAGTGAAGACTCGGGAGTGGGTATGGGCCCCACCGAACTCGTTACGAGGTGAGCGCAAAGTCAATAGGTCAGGAGCTGCTCCATTGTGGGGCGTACCCGGAGCAGGTGAGACACTCCACAAGACAGACTGTTCGCTTTTAAAATGCACATTGTTGCCTTTTCTTCTTCCCGCGCCATCGAACACCTATAACCTTACTCTTACAGAGTTATACCCGCGGGGGACTGGCGGGGGGGTTCCCCCTCCACCTCCTCGAACCTCGACAAGCGCACCTCGGACCTGGCTCTCTCCAACGACGAGGATTTTGACACCGGCCACCAGGTACCGCCACCATTTACTCTCTACCACGCACATTCCACAATTAACGTTATTCAAAAAAACATTGTAAGTACAGTGGTGAACACGCTTTTTGGATGTTTCAAAATAACGTAAGTACTTTGTGATGTAACCTGTCGTGCTGCGTGTCTGCTGTTTGGTTTTGCGAGGGGAAACTCGTAATTGGCTCTTTGTGTCAATGCCATATACTGTGTCAGTTTCACAGAAAATGCACAAACATGGGACCTATATGACATCGATATGTATGTTTTCTGTCATCGATAATAATCGTCATCGACACTTCTAAAGGCAATATAGTATTAATTCAGTAATAAGCGGATATTTTATTTTCCCTAAGTAAAGAAAAATGCAATCGTAAACCTCTTTCGCAAATTTTTGAGGTTCTGAACTGTATTGCTGGAAATGTTTTGGACTTCAGACAGAAAATTGGGGTTACATTTGAGAAAATCGATCCTAATTGTAACTAAATAGCGTTTCAGGTTTATTAGCGTGAAATGAATATGTGAAAATTGCACGGAATAAAACAGTTTAGTCCTGTTTGTTCCGTCTCACAGGGCCTAACTCGTAGTTAAACTGTTATTACTTGCAACACTGAGCACCGTTAACAGATTTTTTTTTAATTCAAATTCATAGGAGCGGGTACAGAATTCAGTGAAATATAACATTCCAATTAATTTTATATTAAACTGTTCAGTACTTGGAAACTTCAGGGTTGTAGTTCATATGTGCAAAGACACGTAAGTATTGTCCTCAGAAAAAATGTGGAGACTTAGGAAACAGTAAAAGGGTTTGTAACCCCCTCAGAAAATAACTTCTCTACCCTGTTATCAAAGGAAGTTTTTAATAACTCACCTATTACAGATGCATTAAGCTAATTAGAATTCGTTGCAGCTGTAATCATAAAAGTATCTTTACCTCTGACATGGAAGTATGCTCGAATTACTTGCAGAATTGTTGTTTCGGTCAGCACACAACCCAAAGTGACGTCGAGAGGTTAGCATCCCTCCTTCATATTCCGTAGATCCAGTGTTTGACTTTCAGGCTGGAGAGAAGCTATCCTGACTGAGGTGTTCCTTAATATTCTTCGGGCTCTGTAGACAGACGCCGGGATCATGCCTTAAATTAGGCCACGACCACTTAATTAGTCATCCTGTTTTTCAGTGCTATGCTATAAAGTACTTTTGCTCCCAATTTTCCTTCATCCACCGTAAGCTTATGTCGGGGCCTACCTGTTGAACCTGAAATAACTGTCCGAAATAGGACCACTGTAATGATGACCGTTATCGCTTTGACTGATGACTTCTCTGTTAATCATCACTTCGCAATACATGGGATTACAGCGACCTTCGGTTATTTTAAAGATACAAAGTTATTTATATTGTTTACGTAACTAACTGTCATCTCACTTAAGGCTGCAGAATTCAGGCAGAAATGCAGATCTCATATTTCATGAAATTAATTTTCCCTAGCTTCAGAACATCTGGATCTAGGTGCTATGTTAGTTTTTTTTAATTCGCTTAGTGGGGGGGTGGAGTCCAACTGGGTCCACTCGGCACGGCGGCCACTGATTGGCCTATTGTAGCCTGCTTTGGGTGATTATGATGATGAAGAATTTGGTGGAATGAAGATTGGCAGGGGAAACCGAAGTACTCGGCGAAAACCTGCCCCAGCGCCACTTTGTCCACCACAAATCCCACTTGACCAGACCCGGGATCGAACCTGGGCCGCCGCGGTGGAAGTCAGCGATTAACCGCTTGATCTATGGCGCTATGATATTGATACACGATCATTTTTCAATATGTCCAGATTGTAAACAAGAACTCTGCAGCATGAATCTAAGAGCACGAAAACTCATGAAAGTATCTGATCAGGTACAGAGCTACCAAGCACGATAAGAGACTGTGCAGTGAACATATTTGTCTTCTCAATAATTCTGTCTCGGTAAAACTGTGAAGCTTGCTCTTGAACGAAACCTCTTCTTAGTGATGTTATTTATATCTGATGACATTTTTAAACCAAGACTTACAATTTTCAGGGAGTTCGGAAGAAATCTGTTTTCTCTTGCTACTTCATGATATCGATAACATATTTACGAACTTTTCTGTCAAGTCTAGCACACTGAAGCACTACAAATTTTCCGATGTATAATACCTGAGAGTCACTTAATTTAATGATCAAATTTTGTTGTACATATATAAATGGGTTGAATCAGTTCACTCATTTATATACTTTATTGAGATATTTGTATTTGTTGCAGATCTACGAGTATAGTTCTGAAGTCATGAGAGTTTCTCTAATTGCATTAGAACTTGCACTTAATGTTTCAATGATGAATTACAGTATGGCCTTAGAATAATTTCCTGCAAACTTTCTTGTGCGGCGTAGCATCAGTCGACCTGAATTAGGACGTCTGCTCACGAAGGCAGTTTATCCTCTTATATCACAAAGCTTCAGATGACATTGCTTTCTGTTACGGATGTCGGTTGATACCGCTGATGTGGAAAAAGGAGATTTCTTTTGTATCGATATGGATTCCACGTAGAAATATATCACTGACTCTCCTGACATCATAAATTTGCCCTATTTATTTGAAAGCACAGGAATTCAGTACATTACAGGCAATTTTCGGAGACTTCATTTTGTGAAAAATGTCAAGAATGGTTCGCTTGCGGCCTAAAAACCATGGAGTTTTAGTTTAGGTCAAGAATGATGCAGTTATACTTCCACTCCCCGGTAGAACTTGGCGTGATGCGTGACTGAGAACAAGGACAAATTTGCCTTGCCTTACTAAGGAGAGAGCAGTGTATGACTAATGATGACAGATGAGTAATTCAGGCAAAGCAGACATACAATATTTAAGAATTGTGTTCTGTTATTAAAATTAAAAAAAGAACGTGGCTTTAGTCCGCAAGCGAACTATACCGACCGAGTGACCGCCGCTTGTCGGCGAAGTTAGTGTCAACTTTAACAGATGAGGGTGTCGCATGGTCAGCGCAACGAATCCCCGCGGCCGTTAATTTCGGTTTTCTATACCGGAGCCACTATATCCTTGAAATAGCTCCCAAATTATCCTCACGAGGCTGAGTGGACCTCGGTCCTGACCCACTACTTCTCAGAAAATCTGGTAGCGCCGGGAATCGAACCCGGGACCTCTGGATCTGTAGTCAGGAACTCTTACCACTAGACCACAGAGGCCGTCGTTATTAAAATACCGGCATTTAAAAATGTGTAATTAAAACCCAAATCTTCTGGGATATACTCGTAACTCTTTGTAGTCCGCTTAAAGCCAACGGAGGTTTAGAAGTAACATGTTGCCTCCATCTTCAGAGTTCGAGAATAAGCCAGTAAGAAACCAACATAAAGCAGGTAGTAAGCAGAACTTAGATCTTAGTGTCCAAATGCCATACACACCTTCCCTCCTGCCCACGACACTGTCATTACAACATGTCACACAACTGTCAGTGGAACCAGCTTCAGTACCGACGTCGGCTGTGTGGCTCGGATTCCCTCTGAAATGTATTCGACGAACCATTCCTCGATTCCGAAGAACTCGTCGCCATTGGCCTGATGCTCTCCTTCTGTGCTTCAGCATTAATCTGCTCCTCATGTTGTGTCTCTGGCCCTGCAGAGTGCATTAACCTACACAAAACTGGCAAGATTTAAGTGAGATTAGCAGACGTTAAGCTAAGATGCGTGAGGATTCTATGTGTCTAAACGTGATTACTTCTTGAATATCCATAGGATTGTAGATCCATGAGCGTCTGTAAGTGTAGAGTCATCAAATTCACCCCTCCCCCTAAAACTATTTTTCTTATTGTGTTAAATGTTTGAAGATATGGTCTACAGACCTTTCGACGGTAGACCATCTTCCCATACTGACGATAAGAGCTGGCAGGCCTTGCGCTTGAGTTTCCAGCGCCGTTGCCATAAGAGCAGTAACCATTGGAGAAATGTCGGGTTAGTCTACAACAGTATCGGAAACATACCGTTCGCTTATGTTTTACAAGACAACACAAACGTCACAGCAGAAATTGTCCAGAGCTGTATGAAATATGAGGTTCATGTCTTCGCCCTCACTTGGCAGGATTGTAACACAACAAACAACATATATGGCATGAATTCTTCCAATTGTTAATATCGCATTTTTAAAATGGTGCAACTTAATGAAATTTGTTTTTGAAAATCTTGTAAAATGCACATGATATAGACAGTTCTGATATGTCTTGATCAGAATTATCGAATTTTAGCGCTTCACTTTTCCCTCCTTAAAATTTTGGGATGTGTGAGTCGTCACGGAAAAATGTGTTTTGTTTTCTAAGGAGAAAGAGCATTAGGCGTGTGAAGAAAATTCCATAATGGAAAGCTTCATAATTTGCACTCCTTACGAATTAGGGCCGTCGATTAAAGAGGGTGAAATGGCAGCACATGTGGGATGCAAGGAATGGCTGACATTGGAACCGGAAAAGCAAGAACGAAGATCAAGAAGTAAATGGGAGGATAGGCCGCGCCATAGTTCAAGCGGTTAGTCGCTGGCTTCCCACCGCGGCGGCCCGGGTTCGATCCCCGGATCTGGTCAAGTGGGATTTGTCGTGGACAAAGTGGCTCTGGGGCAGGTTTTCTCCGAGTACTTCGGTTTCCCCTGCCAATCTTCATTCCACCAATTGCTCCACAATCACCCTCACCTATAATCTGGGTCTGGTACAAGAGGCCAGAAGTGGCCGCAGTACAAGGGACTTAGTCCCACCCCACTAGCATTAAAAGAAATGGGAGGATGATATTAAAATGGATCTCAAAGACATAGGACGCGGGGATGTTGACTGGATTCATCTGAATCAGGATATGGCCCAATGCTGGATTGCTATGAATAAAACAACGAATAAGATACTGGGAAGTGACTAGCTGAGCTACTATTATCTTCTCGAGAAGGACTTTGCTGATTTAAGTTAAGAAATTTCTCTCGCTCTGGGCACAGGTTTCACTTGTGA